CACTGAGCTAGATGGATCATTGCTCTTTCCGACTAGATTGATTCTTACATCTCCTGTTGAAAAAGAGGCAGTTGGACATCTCTTAAACTGAAGATCCACAAAATTTTAAATCCGGTGCCAGCACAGGCTGGGTGGAAAACAGACACCAAATTCTGTGAGATAGGAGAGTTTGCAGATATGCAGTGAACCTGCAGTCTCCATGAGAGGCTTGTGCTTCCCCCCAGACTAGACCGCAAAACTTACTTGGGCAGGTAAGCAAGCTAGAACAGGGAAGAGCACAGTGCATTGTCAGGGCGACCCTCAGCAGCTGCGTGGCTCTGGAGCCAATGCTCTCCCTGATCTGGGCAGAGTGGGATCAACATGCCCACAGCGGGTAACTCAAAGCAAAGCGCTGTTGGTAATGTTTGAACTGGGACAGGTGCCTAATGAAAATGCATAGCCAGGACATACCAGTGCACTGAAAAGGCTTTGAAATCCATCTTAGCATGGCTAAGATGGACAGAGGCTCTAAACACTCTTCTAAAACATTCACAAATCTGATATTTTTCAGGATAAGCAGTGCCCTGCTTATCCTGATCAAACTTGAAGATAGAGCTAAGAAAAACATCATAAATCCCCTGTGCTTTTATGCACTCCCAAACATAATCACAGAAGTAGTAACAAAAGCAAGTTTACTGAAATAAAAAATGTGCTCTTTTTGAAGAAAGAGAAAAATGGAAAAATGCACATTATAGCATCAAAATGAAGGATTCCACATACCTGGGAAGGTATGGCTGCACCATACAAAAGATTAGATCCTGTGCAGATACATCAGTATCATTCATAACCCTGAAAGAAAAAGGAAAAAAAGAGGAAGGACACCCTACACTGGGGAAAAGGAAAACACCACTAACTACATTACCCTATCTAGCAGCTTGGCAATCAGCGAGAAATAAATGGCAACAAGTAAACCAGTATCAAAGACCCAAACACAGTGTAAACATTACTTAACATCCAGAGACACAAGAACATGATGCTTACACTTTGGAAGCTCTTATGTAGTGTCTGTCCAATTGACACGGAGCTGGATCCACAAAACAGTATTTCCCACACACCAGTCCACAAAATAGCAGTGGAGAAATACCAGGGTGGCACTCTTAACCCTAAAATATGTTGTTCAAAAGCTCTGGACTGTTGCAGTTCAAAGTTAATTTGTTCCATTAAAGGGATGGGAAAGTTTGGATATAGACCCAAACTCCCTCCATGCTTGGCAATGCTGAATCAGTTTAGATTTTATCTGTCTCTAATCACAGAACATTCATTTGCAATTAGGATTCCTTGGGCCATGGGAGCTACCAGCTGGTGGATTCTGAAGAGACCTGGCTATAACTCACCCATGATAAGGTTCAGGCAGGCAGGTAGCATCTTTGCACGCTGCCTGGATGAGGTGTGGGAGGATAAGCTGTAAGTGCACTGATCAATCCAGCTAGAGGAGAGAATTTCAGAGGGACTGTTTATCGCTGCAGGTGGGTAGCAAACTCACATACATCACTCAGCATAACTCTCCTTAACAAGGTATCAGGTATGAAAGCAGGCAGTCAGCCCACCCCCATCCATCTACATACTCTGTGAGAATTGCAGCCTCACAGAGACATTTCTCCTAATGCTAGAGCACAGCCAAAGAAGCTCTGTGTGAGCTGCAGTGTACACTGTGTCCTTCCCCCACACTAAAATATTGTTACCAGGGCAAGACACAATTCTGCTCACAGGAATCCTGCAGGAGGTTTTTGGAGACAGATTTGGACATTAGTAAGACCTTTCAATAGAAATAGGCAGGTTAAGAGTATGAACAAGGGAGGAGAACAGAACAGGACAGCAAAAGCCAAGAGGCTGTGATTACCTCTCCTGATAGATGTGACTTTTCAAGGAGGCAAAGGGGATTTGCACAGCAGGTCTCACCCAGAATGGCTGATGATTTCAGTAACACTGCCCTCAGGGAGCAAAGGACTCCAAGCTCTGTGTGAAAAAGCAGTCTGAGCTGTGTCAGCTGCACTGGAGTGCTGAATAGGCACTTTCTGCATGAGAGCAGAACTGTTCCGTCAGGAAACGAGGCCACGTAGGTGCTGCCAAAGCTGAGAAAACCATATCCCCTGCTCGCAGGCGTCAGCACACTTCCAGAGAAGCTATGGGAGGTGCATTGGCCTACTGAGCTGTGTGCCTGGCCTGTGGGTAACAGAAAAAGGGAATTGTACTGCACATTCATTTGGCCTCTGGGATTTTTGGTGCATAGGTAAGTTGTGATGGTATCAGGTGAGAGGCATCAGCAAACTTGAATAAGCATTTAACAAAAGCAAAAACATCTTAGCTGCTGGAAATGAGTTGAAGAGATGAAAGACTTTAACAGTGAAATAATGCAAACTACATAGCTGCAACTTTTCATAGAGGTTGCCCCAGTTCCATTAGCAAACCCTTCCAATCCAGGCACAAAGGGAGGTTACAGATCAGCCAGCTGCAGCCCAGAGGTTGGAACTGATATACATGAAGTCATCCAACAAGTCAGCAGCAGAACTGAGATAGAAATTCAGCAGTGTGTTTCTTCACAGCCCATTGGCCTCACTCACGTTGTCTGACCCATGAGTGCATCCCAAGACACTGGTAAAATATAGCTTTATTTAGATAATTTAGGTGCTGGGTTGCCTAACAAATCCTCGTGGTGCTCTGTGTTAGTGGCAAGAGAGAAACCAATGCATATACTAGCTGTGAAAAGAGGAGTTATCTCTTGGTAAAAAACCTAAAAGGGCAGTATCACATGAGCTTATCTATGCAATGACAAGTATAAAAGATTTTCAGCCTAAACCACTTTTAAAAGTACATCCTTAAAATTTAAAATAAATCTCCCTTTAGGAATAAGAAGCAATGTTCATGTTAATAAAGAATCTTTTGGGAAAGGAAAACTAATTAAATAATTCTACTTGAAAGAACCCACAGCACACAGGGAACTGTCACAGGTACAGAGATCACCAGCTGCAAAACAGAAACAATATGTTTTCAGTAAACTGGCAAGCACATGAGACTGAAGAAGCCCAGATGGGCCTCGGATTCTTCTTCTATCTAACCTCTACCACAGGCAAATGCATCATACACCAATTGATTGATCTAGCTCTGTCCCAGAGCTCATTAGGATTTTTGATGCAATTAAAAGAGCTGTTAGTGCTATCGGTATCTGGGATGGTTGATAAAAAACTACAAACATTGAAACTGATTCTCAGAGTGCAACTTTAAGCTCTGTAGGGTACAGGCACTCACATGAGAGCTTAGGCAGTCCTTACTGATTATCTTTACATCAGTATTTTGCATGTGCCATTAAAAGATAGTAGACTTACAAGAAACATGGGGTAGGGCATGACTGACCCTAGCAGAATTATATGAGACGGTCTAAAATGTCCATCCAGCCTCCTATCTTTATCCAACAATAGCTAGCAGCAAATGCTTTGGAAAATATGCAAAATCAGTCACCCCTGGTTTCCCTCTCAATCAGCAGTTCAAGGACTTCCTGAGCTGGAGCTTCCATCAGGACCACAAAATCAAATAACTGCTGGTATAGGGTTTTTGTGTGTGTGTGTGAATCTGTTTGCCTCTTTTTGAATTAGCTTATCTGTTTGATAGGACTTCTCTTTGCTATGTTAAAGGAGTAGAATCGAAACTACAAATCTTAGCTCCCCAGGCATTACAACTTTTAACAGATCCCTCTGTTTCCTCAAATCTGCTGATTGTTCTGTGCATAATCCAGACTGGTCATTCTCTTGCGGTGAGTGTTTACTGCATGGACACAAAAGTCTGTTCTTGAAGTAAATGAACTGCATGATACTAAAGGCAGTGTTCAGTCTCGTAAGGACCTAATGAACCACAAGCTAAATTTTCTGTGATGCTTAAAAGCAGACATGTATTATCCTGCCTAAGTGATTACTAGGAGAGGGGTGGAGTAGCTAAATCGGTACTAATTGCCCTATCCAGGGAAGCAGGAATTCCAAAGTGTTTGTATCATACACATTTCATGCAACATGAACACTAAAATCAGGCATAACCCATCATACCTGCTGGTATAAGGATTAAGCCCACGTCTCTGGAGATTTGTGAATTTTCAAAAACTTTCAAAAGGAGCAAAGGGATAGGGCAGGAAGACACTGCTAGAGGCCAACTTCTCTTGTCCTTTCTGGCCTGTACCATTTGGCAAAACAGGAACAGTAACCTTGGGGTGATGCAAATTAAGCTGCTGTATCAGTTAAATTAGGACTTTTTTCAGAGTGTGACCGTCAGTGGTCAGTAGTTGTGCAGCCATGGCAGAGGGCAAAATTCTCCCAACACCAGAGCACCATGTGTAATGTCCTAGCATATCCATCCCCATGCCTGCTGAAGGGCCATTCCTGCCTGCCAGACCTCCTTGTCCCCAAACTGCCACCAACAGAACCCACAGAAAAGGAGAGAGCCGTTAAGTAGAACTGCCTGGAAATAGCAGTTCTGTTCCAGTTAAGGAGCGTGCTAAGGGGGATGTGCATGAGGGTCTGCAAAATTTCTAACACTTCCAGGAAAGCAGAGAGGATGCATAACACAGCGTTCCCTGTCCCACCACCCTGCCTCACAACCCCTAGCTGTCTCACCCACTCGGGAAGAGCTTTCTGTGATCACAGAGGGGAGCTTTCCACCTGCCGCCTGCAAAGATCCATGTCCTTTGGGCACAGAGGGAACCTCACAGACTACAGATAGAGCAGCCCTATCTAGCCCTAGTGCCACCCCACAGCCCTGAGAGCGGTGGGGGAAAAGAAAGAAGGCGAGAAAAAGAGGAGGAGAGTTGAAAAGGGGGCAGGACTGTGGGAAGAGCAGAGAAGTAGGGAGGGAAGGAAGAAACCGGAAAAAAAAAAGGAGGAGAAAGGGGAGGAGATGAAAGGCAAGGGGAGAAGGGAGGACCGGGCGGGGAGGAGACGAGAGGCCGGGAAGGAGAAGAAGGAGGCAGCTCAGCAGAGAGGGAAGAGACGGGACCCGGCGCCCCGCGGGCCATGCGGCTCCTGGCCACGGCGCTGGCCGCCCTGCTGGCCACGGCCCCGGCCCCAGGTAAGCGGCACCGCGGGCCGGCTCCGGCA